TATTCTTCATAGACTGGTATCCCATGCATGCTATCCACTTTTCAAGGACCAAAATGCCACCAATAATGTCTGTGCCATGGAAAGTAGGTCTGATGGGCGGGGAAAACGGCATGCCACAAAACCATGTCCCAACATCATAGAGAAATCTAACAGGATCTACCAATGTTCTCCTCCATACAGAGTCTCTTCCAACGTAAGTCTTGGCAAGAATTAACAATTGTTGACTTTCTCAAACATATATAGCTCTGCTCTTATTAAAACTATTTAAAAACTACTTAAAACTACTATATTCTAAAATAAGTGTTATGTTTTTAGTTATAATTTTTGATATCCTTAAAGTATCCATTTAAGACTTCCAGTTTGGACATGATCTTTAATCTTTGTAATACTACGAGTGCAAAGGATTGGCTTAAATTCAAAAATGCCCATAGAAATAAGGTTTTATATTTATTTTTTGTTATACATATGCATATGAACTTGACAATTATAAGCTAAGTCAAACCCTTTTCACTGACTTTTTTTGTGGCAGTAGCTCACTTTATCAATCACTAGCTTTATTTCACAAAATAATTGAAGTGGACATAGCCATAATGGGAAAAAGACTGCCTCGGATTCCAGTTTGTCATGTTAAAAGCATAGGCAAATTTTACTCCATCATATCAAGATTACCCAGGCCTTCTCATTTTCAGAATATCTGAACATTCCGTGGCTTTCAGTTATCTCTGGAATACAATCCAACTTTCTTACCATGGCGCATAGGCCTTTCATGAGTTGGTTCTGACCTACTACTTTTAAAGACTCATGTCCTGCCAGCTTCTACCCCCTCTACTTGCCCATAATGTTTCTGATATATAAGACTAGTCTCTGTTCCCCAGACACACCATGCTCTTTCATGCTTCTTCACCTAACTAGGTGAAGATTCCTATGACTCAAATGATTATCCCACCTTTTCCGTTTGTTTAAATGCCACATGAGTATCAAAGCACAGGTCAAAACTTCATCTTTTCTGTGAAGTTTTCTTTGACTTGTAGGTGGCATTCATTTCTCATTTCAGTGTGCATCCATGGCACTTTGCATTTGTCTCTATAATAGAACTTATTATATAATAATAACGTTCGTTGTGTTTATTGTCTGTGTACTCCATCAAAATGTAAATACCTTGACGATAGGTACAGGGTCAGTATTTGTTTTCGTCGTAGTTTCTGGTATGTACTTTGCGTTCAGTGTGAACAAAAGAATGAATGAATGAATGAACCCTGCAGAGGGTTGCACTACACATTGGATGTCAACATGGAAATAATTGTACTAAAGCTACTGAAGACCCTCACTAAACAATCATTTGGGATAGCTCTTGTGATCAAAAGATTAGAGACAACACTAATCCCCACTGATTAGATGTGGTTTTAACTTACCTTGATTATTTTTTTCTTCATTGCCCTAAAAAGTTACTGCATTTCCTTTCCACTCCAAACATATTATTTATTGATAAAAGTTAATGAAATAAATAGGTGCATCATATGTTAAGTAATTTCATCAATGTGACATTTCACATGTGAGTATTTCAAAGCATAATTAAGACTAAATTGCAAGTGGTCAAGGAACTTTGAATTATATAACACCTAATTGATTGTACAGCATCTAACATTGTATACCAAACCAATTCTAGTATGCTCTGATAACAATGACGAAGCTCATTGATATTTTTCCTTCAGGAAACTGAGATAATGAAAGAAATCATGCAAAATGGACCAGTTCAAGGTAAGCATGGATGAGATATGGTTTTGTCTTAGTCATTCTTTTAATAATCAACATTACATTGAGCCCATGTAAAAAGAGTTTAATAGAAGAATGAAAACTTTTACTTTAAGCATATACATAGCTCTCTGTCTTGCATCCTCTTGTCATGTGATCTGCTTATACCCACCGGCTGCCTGCCACTTTGTGCCATAGTAGCAGCAGCCTGAAGCCTGCGCCAGATGCAGCTGTTCCAGAATCACTTCCAGTTGTTAGAAACTAAAGCAAGAAATAGTCTCCTTAAAGTATGTGTCTTCCCAAGATCATTCATCGGTATCTCCAGAACCCAGAAAAATTCCTGGCACAGAGAAGACATTCAGTATATGGATTAATGAATGAATGAATGAATGGAGTGTCAAGACATCTAAATCTAAGAAAAGGTCTATCTAAGGGCAGGATACTCCCTATCTTTAAGGAATCTTGTCCTTGGAGCAGAAAAAGTTTGCTCTGTCCTAATGAGTTGCAGCCTGCAATTTGAAAAGCTCTGTGCTAACCATTTTGCTCCTGAAAAGATCCATTTCTATTCATCCCAGGGATGACCACCTAGCTGCCTGCAGGAAGCACCCTGGCCTCTCCTGAGCTGGGGGTGTGGGTGGTGAAGGCTTCAGCCACACCCCCCTGACATCTGCACCCAATACTGCAATGACCAAGCCACCACTAGAAGCCCCCTGGTCTCCCCTGCAGGAATGAGGGGGGTACCACAGGCCTAAACCCTGCCTCTCCTCCTTCCTCCTTCTTTCACTCTGTTTCCTTCTGCTTTTGCCTCTCCCCTGCAACTCTCTGCAACAACATCATAGAATGTAAATAATAATAATAATAATAATAGTATTAACAAATAAATGAAATGAAAACAAAACAAAAAAAGAATATACACAAGGGCTCACTAGTTCAAAAATTAGTGCAATTATGGGAAATATGCTCATCTAATAGCTTCATTAGCTACCATTTCATTTTAAGAAGATAGACTCATTTATAAATAAAACTCTTAGATATTAAAGACACATTCGATGAAAGTTTGCTAAGTCTTTCCAAAGCGATCATCGATCAACAGACAGTCGAACACAAAAAGTCAAGGGATTAAATTGCAGTGAAGCTCACTTTATTCATTCAATCATATTTAAGAATCATACATAATGTTAGATACTTTCTAATCTTCAGTTCAAAGTAGATTAGTAATAGATTGAAAAAATAATGAAGATTAATAGTAGAAACAAAATAGATACTTTTCTCCTAGCTCAAAATAAATCAAATAAGCCAGTATGATTTTTGTGTTTTACAAGACTTTTGATTTTCAAAAATTTTTAAATGTGTCATTGAAAGTAAGCTAGCAGTAAATAATAAAATAATACAGTGACTTACTGTATATTGAGTTTTAAAGACATTATCTCTGATAATAATTCATTTTGGTTACTTATTGAATTTTATTTTGCACCTGATAGCATGGATGAAGATAAATTCACAGAATATGTCCCCTGCATAAACACTGCCTTGAAGTACATAGAAGAACAGATTCAATGAGGCCTAATATGGAAATTCACGTTGTGAATTCTGAAGGGCCCAAAGTATATTATCAATGCAATGGAATAGAAAATTAGCCACAATTAAATTAAAAACATTTGATATATACTTAAGGAACTATCGGCCAATTTTTGTTTTTGTTTTTCTAAATGCTACCCTAATTAGTATTGGTTCAATATATAGCAGGAACCATAGATTTCATAGCTGTGTTGGAAAAGTTTTTGTTGATCATTATCATCACATAGTATTTGTTGAGAAACAGAAGCTTGCACTAATCATATCCTAAATTTAATTTTTAAAATCCTGGGACCTTACACAAAACCTGAAACAAATGAAGAGAAGCTTTTTCATCTCCTTACAGTTGTATAATTTGTTGATTGTTAAAGGAGTAGGAATATTCATGCCTAATTTCAGTGTGTACTTCATTCAATGCTACTGTGTGACAAATTTGAAGGAGCACAGGCATTTGAAGTCAAGGCTAAACTCAGAATTCTAGCCTTAGCATTTGTTACTTCAGTGGCTTTGGACAATTTTCTTAACCCTTGAATCTTCAAATTATCGCATTGCTATTTTGAGTTTTTTTTTTTCTTCCTCTCTCACTCTTTTTTTTAATCAGTCAAAAGATATTTGGGTTATAATTATTTAAAGCTGGGAACACCTTAGGCTTATTTTATGGTCATATATTTAAATGTTCATGAATTTCACATAATAAATCAAAATAAAGAGATAAAATTTCAAAGCAATAAAATAAAAATGCAAATTATTCAACACCCATTTTATGAAGGTTTTTTGAGAACCTGCTTTTACCAGCCTGTGCCAAAAACAAGACATAGAACAACAGTCAAGCCGGCTCCATCCTGCCCTCATGTGTGTTATAACTGTATAATGAACTGCTGCAGTTTACCAAGAGTAAAATTGCACTACAGTAGCTTATATACTTATGTGTTTGTGGGTTCATCAAGTCTGTTTTAGTGTCAAAAACTGAAGGAAGAAGCCACCTTTGAGTGAATTGTGATGGCTTGTCTCCCTTTTTCTTTACTTGGCAGTGTTTTTTCCGCAATCAAGAATATATTTTATCATGTTGCTTAGAGAAGAGATGAATCATAGGACCTAAAGGAGCCAATGGTTCTATAGAAGAGAAAAACCACTAGCAATATTTTCACGTTTTTATAAATGGTGCTGGTCGACTTTTCTTGCTGTAGATGCAATGTGATGGTCTGCTTATTATTGCCTGACCTAACCACAGCATTTCCTCCCTCTCAGTACAAAAGAAAGTAAAAGGCAAGAGAATGCTGAATAAATAACACTGTGTGCATTCTTCTAAAATCCGTAGAATTAAAAATATGTATAGGAAAGAGAACAAAAGCAGAGATCTGCATAGACTAGAGTTATATATATCCTTAAAATCCTACAGGAATGTGTTTTAGAGTAGATAAAGAAAATTTAACCTCTTTTGAGACTATTTGAAGAGCATCAGAAAAGGAATGGAACATTTAAAAAAAATAAAAAAGTGTAGCATTAAAAAGTTATATTTAGCTTTGAAGTATAAGCTTCATTTTAGTATCTATCAAGTACTAGTGACCTTAGTTCCTATTTTATTTAAAATTTGTGTCAAACTAAGATATATAAGCATTGTATGCAGTTATCAAGGTACACATATCTAGTCCCAATCAGAAAATTTCTAATTCATGTCTTCTGAAAGAGAAATTAAAAATCTTCACCCCAAATTGCTCAAGTCCTTCAACAAAGCAGCACTTGATACAGAAAAGTAATCTAGGAGAGGGAATGAAGGGGAGATTTACAAAGTATAAACTCTACTTTTAAAAGAATACAACATTGGCTTAGCTCTTCAGAGGTGAGGAGATGAAATCTTGTCAGAGTATTCTTTTGCCAAGGGTTTGCTTTTTATTCAAACTCACCAAGGAAAGTTTTGTATTTACTTATAAAGATTAAGGACAATAGCTTTAAACACAATTTGCTAGACTTACCTTTCTCTGCTAGCTCAACTGGGGTTTTAAGAGGCTTATGGCAGAGAACAAGGTTAATGGTTAAATAGCAATCACTGACCAAGTGTTGTAAGTTTTTGCTGCAAGGAGTTCAGTTCCTGGTAATGATGCCGCTGTTGATTTAGGCTAGACAGCATTTTAAAGGTATAATGTATACTTGAATAATATTCTAAATAGTCAAAAGTTGCTTTTATGCCAGAACAGGAATATATTGCAACCAATTAAATTCAGTAGGAAAGAAAATTAGGCTGAATCACACACTCCCTTCTTAGATTCAACCCCTTAAAATTTACTTATTGATTGTTCTGTGAAAATTCCTGCAGGTTTTTAAAGGTGATTTTTAAAAATTTGTTCTGTTGGGTTTTATTTTAGCCATAATGCAAGTCCATGAGGATTTCTTCCATTATAAGGCAGGGATATATAGACATGTTACCAGCATAAATGAAGAATCAAGAAAATATCAGAAGCTTCAGACACATGCAGTCAAACTCACTGGGTAAGGCAATTTCTTAACAGTCTTCATTTAACACTTTTGGAAAATGAAACTGAAAATAAGAATATATAGTGCATGTAGATACCAGAATTCCCTTTGTATGAGAGATTCTGATATAAATAAAAATTATCTAAACTTTTCCACTATTTAGTCATTATTTTAAAGTCAGGTAAAAAGCTAACTCAATATTCTGGGAAAGATGATCTTTCCTGTCTCTCACTTACTTATGAATATGTCATTAAGAATCTGTTCTAAGGGTAAGGGGACTATATTATTGAAATAAATTCTACATATGGCATAATCAAGGGAAGGGTCCAAATCCAAAGTGTGGTATGATTTGGGGAGAAGGTTTCAAATGGAATTGAAAATGGCAGAGATACAGGAAGAGGGTAAGGTCACTTTTAATTCATTATAAGTTTATCTATTATTTTTGTAAGAATTGTGGAAGTTAAATTGAACAAATTTATAAGGAAAATCCATTCATCTATGATAGGGAAAAAAACAAGTTCAAACTTTGTTTGGTAGTTGCATTTCAAGAGTAAGCAATTTCACAAATAGGCCCTACTGTGAAAGACAGTGTGGTTATGAGGCCATTTTCCTCAACATCTTCTCAATCTCGTTCTGTCTGTGCCCAATCTGCAAGCTTTTTCTCATAAAATCTCATTCCAATTTAAATGAAATGCTGAAGAAAATGTTTTCATTTTTTCTGTTTTGTTTTGTCTTGTTTTTTCCTTTCCTTTTCCATCCCAAACCCTAACTCTTTTCATCTTGCCTGGTATGGTAAATAACTTTGTTCCTATTGAATATGTCCCACAACCTCACCTACAGCCCAATTGTTACCTTCCTACTGATCTTTGAAATCTCTCTGAGTCAATTTGAAGTTATGTAGACACATTATCCTGTGTGACATCTCTGTAATCATTGACCCTCCTTTATTTTAAATATTCCGATATTTCAATTTCAAAATTATCACATTTCTTTGAATCTAAGATACCACTGATTTTATGACTTGATTTCAGGGATGTGAAAATAAGTGTATCTTAGAATTTAAAAATATGGTAGTTCATGTTCATGTAGAACATTAATAAATTATAGATAGAAAAAAAACTACAGATAGGAAAAATTGTAAATACACACACACACACACACACACACACACACACACACACACACACACACATGATTTCACCATTCAGAGATAAACTCTGTTAAAGTTTTGAAGTATTTTTATATGTATTCTGGATATATAGCTATAGAGAAAGAGAAAGAAAGACAAATTTTGCAGAAAAATAAGATAATGTAGTACTTAAAATTTTATGGAAAGGAAAATTTTGCGAAAGATTTTATTATCAGTATGTAAGAATTCCAGTTTCTCAACATTCTTTCCAACACTGGGTGTTTTCTTTTCCATTGCAATAGTTTTATTCTGCATAATTTTGATTAGTCAGCATCACTCCTCTTTAGAGACCTATGGCGAGCTTCCCATCACCCTACCTCTTTAAGTATCACCCGTGCCACCTATCGTCATGCACTCCTTCATAATCTTTCTTGCCATCTCCTGCATAATTGAACCATGCATACTCTTGTCTAAATCCTCCTTCATGTATTGTAGACCCCAACCCCTCTCAACTATTCAAGAACATGCAGAGGAAGTTTTTCCTTTTTCTTTTGTGTAGTCAATTTTATTTCTACCTCCATACAAAAATGCTGTTATTTCTCAAATTTTAATGGGCGGGGGGTGCTTTCTCTTGACTCCACTTCCTCCACATCACATTTATGTTCTCTTCTTACAGCAAACTCTTTGCAAGATTTACCTCTACTCACTATCTTCAATTCTGTTCCTCCCATTCTTTCTTAAACTATACCAGTCACTTTTTCAGTACCTTCTTTCTCTTCACAAAAGTGTTTATTTCAAGGTTATCAATGGTCTTCATGTTGCTAAGTCCATCAGACAGATCCCAGACCTGCCCATCCCATCCATCAAGTTTTTCCTTACTGGCTGCAACTGTTCAGTCTTCTTTGCTAGATTTTTTTTTCCCCTGTACTTCTACACTTATTTGTTTTTTCTTTTCAAGATAATTATTATATTCGACATTACATGATGTAATCATTTTTGTGGCCTTTTACCAATTTCTTTCTAACTCCACCTCCCTCCAACCTTTCCCACTTCTAGTAGCCTCAGTTCTGTTCTCTCTTTTGAAAGTTCAATGAGTTATTGTGATTGTTGTATCTTTCTTTTTTCTTTTTTTATTTTTTTAGCTCCCACTTATGAGTGAGGACATGTGGTTTTTCTCTTTTTTGTGCCTGGCTTATTTCACTTAACATAATTTTCTCTAAGTTCATCCATGTTGCTGCAAATGGCAGAATTTCATTCTTTTTTATGGTAGAGTACTATCGCATTGAGAACATATACCACATTTTCCTTATCCAGTTGTCTAATGATGGATATTTAAGTTGGTTGTAACTCCTGACTATTGTAAATAGAGCTGTGATAAATATGGGAGTGTGGTATCCCTTTGACATGATGATTTCTATTCCTTTACATATATAACCAGCAGTGGGGTGGCTGGATCATATGGCAGTTCTATCTGTAGGTGTTTGAGGGACCTCCATATTGTTTTTCATGATAGCTGTACTAATTTACAGCCCCATCAACAGTGTATCCTCCCCGGCATTTGTTATTTTCTGTCTTTTGGATAACGGACAGTGTGACCGTCATAAGATGATATCTCAATGTCGTTTTGGTTTGCATTTTCCTCATGCTTTGTGATGTTGAGCATTTTTTGTGCGTATCTGTTGGCCAGTTGTATGTCTTCCTTTGAGAAATGCCTATTCAACTCCTCTGCCTGTTTTTTAATCAGGTTAGTTGGTTTTTTTTTTTTTTTTACTGTTAAAATGCTTGAGTTCCTAATACATTCTGGATTTTAATCCCTTGTCAGATGCACTGTTTGCAAATATTTCCTCCCATTCTGTAGGATGTCTTTTTACTCTATTAATTGTTTCTTTTGCTGGGCAGAGGCTTTTTAGTTTGATATAATCTCATTTATTTATTTTTTCTTTTGTTGCTTTTGGGGTCACAGTCTTAAAGTTCTCACCCAGTCTTACTTCCTGAAGTGTTTCCTCTATGTTTTCTTTTAGGAGCTTTATAGTTTCTGGTCTTATATGTAAGTCTTTTATTCATTTTGAGTTGATTTTGGTATATGGTGAGAAGAGATATGCATATGGATGTTCAGTTTTCCCATCACCATTAATTGAGGAGGCAGTCTTTTCCCCAGTGTATGTTCTTGGTGCCTTTGTCAAAGATCAGTTGGCTGCAAGTATGTGGGTTGATTTCTGTGCTCTCTATTATGTTCCATTGGTGTGAGTGTTTGTTTTTACACCAATACCATGCTATTTTGGTTACTATAACTTTGTAGTATAGTTTGAAATCAGATTATGAAGTGTAATGCCTCTGGCTTTATTGATTTTTTTTTTTTTTACTCAGGATTACTTTGGCTATTTGAGATCTTTTGTTGTTCCATATAAATGTTAGGATTGTTTTTTCCATTTCTGTGAAGAATATCATTAGTATTTTGATGGGGATTGCATTGAATCTGTAGATTGCTTTGGGTACTATAGACATTTTCATAATGTTAATTCTTCTAATCCAAGAGCATGGAATGTCCTTCCATCTTTTTGTGTCCTCTTTAATTTCTTTCAGCAGTGATTTGTAGTTCTAGTTATACAGATCTTTTACCTCCTTTGTTAAATTGATTCCCAGATTTTAGATTTTGTGGGTGTGACTATTGTAAATGGGCTTGCTTTCTTGATTTCTTTTCTGCTGTTTTGTTGTTGGTATAAAAGTGCTAGTGAATTTTGTGGGTTGGTTTTGTATCCTGCAACTTTACTGAAATTGTTTTTCAGCTTTTAGATGGTACCTAAAGCCAGGATGAGTTCAGAGACTGATGAGCTCATCAGAAAATGGGGCACTCCAACTGAGTGCCTCAGTCTCAGGTCTTGATTCTTCTCTCCCTCATGTTATTCATTCTCTGGTGAGCTCATCAGTCTCTGAACTCATCCTGGCTTTCAGTACCATCTAAAATCTGACACCAGCTGAATTTCTGTCTCTAGCTCAGCCCTTCTTGAACTCCAGACTCATGCATTCCATGGCCTACTTGACATTGCTATCCAGATACCTTATTAGGGAGGTAATTCAAATTCAGCACTTACAAAACCTTACACCTGATCTTCCCCTTTATCTTTGTTGAGCAGCATCAACTTTTTACGTCTTCATTGATGACAACTCCATCCTTCCATATGTTCTTGCTGGAAACTTTGGAATCGTCCTTCAAGCCTTTCCTCATAGCTCACTTTCAGTATGTTATAAACTCTATCTGCTCTTTCAACTTATGTCCAGAATCCAACCACTTTTCACTGTCGAACTACCACCATTCTTGCCTGAACCACCTATACTCATTATTTTGTACCTGGATTACTAAAGTAGTTTCTAACAGGCCTTCCTGCATTTTGCCCAACGTAAAAACAAGGCTCTTCTAGAACATTAGTCAGATCTTGGTACTGTTTTGCTCAGAACCTTACACTATCTTCCCATTTCCTGCAGTGATTGTAAAAGCCAAGCTTCTTACAATCACTTACAAGGGCCTCTGTGATCTGAGGACTTCCCTGCTTGCCTACTCCCACCCACATCAACTTTTAATCTCAACTTCTGCTCATTTCTTCCTTGTTCTCTCTGCTCTAGTGATTCTTTAGTGTTTCAGTAATATATGCCTCAGGATATTTTCCTCTGCTTAAAACACTCTTCTACCAGATATCCAATTCTTTAATTTCTGTGCCTTGTCTAGTCCCTGCTCAGATCCCACCTTCTCAGCATGGCATCACTGACTGCCCTGTTTAACCTGCCACTTGCCCTCTGCTCCAGCAATCAGGATTCTCTGCTTTCCTGCTCATTAAAAAAAAAAAGTTTTTCATACAACTATCACTGTCTAACATACTGTATAATTTAA